ATTTCACATTACCTTTGACTAATCAAATTTTTGTTGTCACTTTTCTTCCAATCATTTTTTGACAGAATAATCAAGTATTGTAAAAAAAATGAAGATAGAATGTTTGAATAGAACTATTACTACTGGTTAAATAATTTTCCTAATTAAGTCTTCATGTATTATTGTTGTTATTTTCGATTAATCACTTTGCGGCATCTAATGAGCAAATAAAAAATGAAATCATAAATATGTGTTAACTTGTTTGTAAATATACAAAGAGATGTGAAAATATAGAATTGTATTGAAAGAATCATTTTAAGAATAAAAAAAAAGTTTTTCTCATCAGACTCTTAGATAAAATAAACTATGAACATAGGTAACAAAAAAAAAACTCCTCATGATACTCTATTACAAATATGAAAGAGCATCTCCACATAAAGCCAGAACAATAAAATGTCACAGATTTAGTATGAAATGCCTTGTAAAATTCATTCATCTAAAAGCCTTGAGATGTATTGAATCTAACTAACTCTAATATATGAATTGTTATAGGGAATTGTATTTTTTTATTGCGAACGTTTTTTCTTAATTGAAAGACATAAATGTTAGCATTATAGAAACAAGTGAAAACAGATATCGTAAATGGATTAATTTTGGGGCTATGTCCGAATCGTGAATAAAAAATAAGCCAATTAACAGAAAAAGTATTCACAATTTAGGATGCAGAAAGTTAGGCGTTTCTCATTAGCATTGTATTTCTAAGCGGTGTGGATAAAAATTAAGAAGACGTCAACGCACATTCCAAAACGAGCTGAACAGAACTGTCACTATTTGCCAAGGAGGCTAATGCTACGATTCATATTCGCACAAGCGATGTAAGACGTCGTACATTGACGATCAATATACGGTGAACTGAAAGTCGATGTATATTGACATGCAGAATCATTGGATATGTTGATGCATTATTTTTTCAAAATTCGAATCAAAATTGAAGATGTTGTTTTGTCCCTCTATTTTATCTATCATAGATTCTATATTCACTGCCTATTGGTGATGCTGATCATCTAAAAAGAAGTTTGTTTTGAAATTAAAAACGTTCGTAAAATGCTGATTTATAACAGGTGCCTTTCTAGTAACTTAATCTTCATATAGTGCAATAAATACATGCATATCTTTATTTTTGAAACTTTAATTGAGAACTTTTATTTATAATTTCAAACAATTCAACATTTGAAATCATCAATACTGATAGTGCCAGCTTCTGATGCCTTTCTGATCCAATCATCGATGGCTCCGCGCATAGCCGATTCTCGGCCCACTGAGGTAGATCGTCCTACAATTCCTTGACCTTTGGTAGAGCACTCGAACTTAGCATTCCACTTCCATTTTAAACCATAAAAGCGACCCTTTAGGTTGCCCTTACATTCATTACCACACACATTGATCGCCGTGTCTTCATCCCATTGATGAATCTTCCAAACAGAATTAGCCAGCGCAGCCACACAACCCACAATATTGCCAGAGATCAAGCCACCGATACACGCTTGTACGGGGAATTCGAACTTGATTTTGCTTGTAACAATGACAATGAGGAGAAAAGTCAGAAAAACTATGAGAATAATTGATTGATTCATCTTTGATAGAGAATCTAAAAAGGTAGAATACATCACTTATGATAAACGGCACTTTTTCTTATGTAGTACAATTAATTCAAGAGTTTTACGGATCATTTATGAGATCTTTCGCATGCAATTTGTATTTGTCATAAAAAGAGGATGCAATCGTAATTACCTGTGCAAGATTTTTGATAGTCGATGCAGTAAGTAAAATAATGTGAGTTGCACTGATTGCGTTTTATTATATACTGTTCTATGACCGATTGGAGCATTTTTTTTGCATTTATCGTTCGGAATTTGAAGCAAAACTTACTTCCTTTTATCACGACGTCGTTTAATTTTTTTTCCCTTCAAACATATAAAATAAAATATTGTTTGTCAATATTTGTACACCTTGTATTATAAGTAGAAAGTCATAATCTAGAGGTAGTGATGACGACGAGTGATTCAATCGAAATTTTATTGTTATCATTGGAATTAATAAGTATCTCGTGTATGGATGTGGATTAGAGACCGAAACGAGTCAGAAAAATTGTTACTGCACCGAGAAAGAATCAGCTGATTTTCTCTTTTCATCAAATCGAGGCAATCAATCTCCAAGATAATTTATAACGGAATAAAAGTGAAAGAAAACATTTATAATTCAGACTTAATGTTGGTTGACATCGTGTGCAACTTGACAGTGAGTCTCAATAGAATTTTTGTTAATATTTTGCCTATAAAATTTAACACGTAAGTTTTCTACACTGACGATGTTTGAATAACATGAGAAACTAGTACACTTGAATTTTCGCTAGGCAAATGAGAACTAATCGACTGTTTATTGTTACCCAAGATTTCAACAAAAAAGAATAAAAGTAAAAATGAAATGGTTTCTGCCACAAGTCTTTCTAGAACGCATCGCTCTTTGTGTTGAAAATGTTTATAAGACATCAAATTAAGAGGAAAAATCTAGAATTTTTCATAGAACTACTTAAAGATCTATCTGAATTGTGGTTTTTAAAAAAGTAGAAGTATTTAAGTATTTCGCACAACTAGTTGTTGCCATACAAGCTATAAAAAAAACAATACTTTCGAGACGCCTGTTTGATTTATGATAAGAAAGAAGACCATTTATTTTTTAATTTGTTACTTCCGTTAATTGACATATTACGAAAGGTTTGGTTATGAAAATCAGTGGTGATTTTCAATGTTCTTTATTCATTTGTTAAAAAATAAACATAAACTTTTCTACTGCATATTTTTTCTTCAATTGTTAACTTATATTACAAATTAACGTTCTATTAGCTTTGATATTTTTGGCAAACCAATTACCTATTGATAAACAATGGGCGAGACTAATAAAACTCGAAGAACTACAACATGGAGTAGAAACACTTGTCAATAATATCATTTTTTTTCGGAGCATCCGAGACAAAACTCGATTATTATTAATATCGGTAGAGTATGTTTTCATGAAAACTATCTTTCATTAAGATATGCGACATTCATATAGAAATAATAACGTTTATGATCAGTGTGATTGAATTATTTTTTCATATTATGATTTGAACGGTTATTTATTGCTCGAGCAATCATGCTCAGACACGAATCGTTCGATGTGATATGAAGGAAGAAGACCGATTCGTTCTCTCTACCGTTCGAAACGATATGTCTATCATGTGCATGTACTTGGTCGTATCTTAAATTGGTTATCAAATCACGGGGTGAATCTGACTTAGTAGCAATTATCAATGTGAAAGTCGGTCTTCTTTTTTTCTTTGAAATTTTCTCGTTATCAATCATGTTTTTCCATAATTAGTCATCCTCTGTGTTACGTCTACTATTGTTTGCCTTTCTTTAAAAATGCAAATTGGTTTTTTTTCCTCTCTTTTCTCCTGCTATTTTGGTGTTTCTTTTTCTGGTATGTCTTACTTATTACCGTAATGGACATACGTCTTATAAAAACAGCTATCCCTTTAAGGTCAGAGGATTAAACATAGCAAATAAATATATAAATTTTTTTTTTCATTTTTCCCGTTTCTCTCTTCGATCATTGTTGATGAATATTTAATTTAAACGAAATGTTGATTGAAGTTCATCTGGGCGATATGAAAACTGTCGATTGAATCTTTCGTAATAAAAAAAAGGAATCTTAAATCATTAGATATTATTAGTGAAAGCTTTTTTGTATATCCTTCATATCATGTGACATTTTCGATTTCATGAATATTTAACACAATTCGTTTAACAACAAAAAAAAATAAAATGTATATAAGGTATATTTCATATTGCTATGCTAAAAGGAAAAAAATGTTGATTTATCAATCTAAAAGATTCTCTTCGGTTATTAAATAAAGGCTTTAAATCAGCTGCATATTTGTTGTGTTTTCTATGATAATAATACTTTTGCACCTTCTACATGAGCATAGATTATCTCTCAAATGAAAATCAATATCTCATACTATAAAGCTTTCTGTTCCCCTGTGCCTGCCTTCATAATAATCAGGTTTAAATGTTGAAGGCTAATGAGTATGTTTTTCCTAGCAACAGGATGGACAGAGGGTGAGAGAAAGGCCAATGAAAAAGGCACTGTAGTGTTTGAGTTTGTGTTTCGTATGCTCACGGATCTATATGCAGATTTGTATCAATAAAATCAAGAAAATTACAGAAATTTGCTAGAAATTACTTAGGGGTATCCAAAAGTAGTGGCAACGACATTTTAGTACCACTGAGTAAGCTTGGTAAAAGTTTCTTTTTACATAGGATGATAGAGAAAAAAATGCTCTTTCTTTCTATGCTATTTGATCATACTTCACATAATATAATGGTAATAAATTTCCAGTAAGATTCGTTTCGTTATCATTCGTGATCGTTATAAGTTTNATCTTTTGTCCAAGATTTCTCGGTCCAGGCTCTTTCAATATATTTAAATTTTTTTTTATTTGAAAGAGCATGTCCAGGTGCAGGGCACTACAGAGTCCTTTTTTTAATTAAGCTTTATTTTTGTATTATATATACAGACATTTATGTAACTAGACACCTATTTTTGGCGCTTTTTTTGAGTCATTGAACTTGTGATCCCCTTTTCCGCTAAAAAAGTAAGAATTAAAAAAAACAACTCTGTGGTGCCCTGAATTCTGACATGCTCTTTCTAATAAAAAAAAAATTAAACATATAGCATGAGCCTGGACCGAGAAATCTTGGACAGAAAATGAGCTATTTTTGACCCTTGTTTGGTTCATATCTCTGTCAAACGTCATCGTATCGAGCTGAAAATTTTACCACAGTCTCCTCACTTCAGCCCCAACATATGCTCCAAATTTCAGCCCATTTGAACATATCTGGGCTAAGATCGATTTTTGAGGGGGAGGGGGGGGGGGGGCCTTAACTAACATGACTAAAATCGATATAATAAAAGATGATTTAATAGTAAAAAATTTCTTCATATCTTACTTCAACAATTGATGCATAAAAACTTCTTGCTACTCCACTTCCTTCTCCAGGTTCATCTTTAAATGTAACTTTAACACGTTGTACAGCTAATGGTGGTATAGATGATGATGAATTTATATTTTGATTACGATAATAATATGAATTAAGTGTTCGAAATGTTTTTTGTATTAATAATATACGATCACGTTCCATCTAAAAATTTATATAGATAACTTGATAGAGAAGTGAAAGAGGAAAAAAAAAATTGTTTTTTTTTTTTTTTCTCATTTAATTACCGCTTCAAAACGAATATCTTTTTGTTGAGTATTTTTAACTCTTTCCATATCATGACGAAAACGTTGTTCACGTGCAGAAAATCCACTTGATTCATTTATTATTGAACCAGGTTCATTACCAACATCATCCAAAAATAATTTGACAAATAATTCTATTGAAAATCTCCATCGTGCTAATAAATATTCATATGAACCATTTAAAAGAATTGAATGTAATATTGATTGTCTAATAACATAAATTGAATAAAATAAAAAAAAAAAAAACGAAATTTAAAACAAACCTTTTTTGAGTCTTATTTGATGGCACGAGACCAGCACTTAAATCAAGTAATACATCAACAGCCATACCTTATAGAAAAAAAAAACAAATTAGAAATAATCTATTCAAGAAGTTAAAGTTCTAAAAATGAAATATATAAGGAAAAACATATATTAATTAGTACTTTGATATCTTTTAATTGAACATTTATGAAGATTTTTAAAATTATTTTATGACATAATGAATAGAATATGAAAATAATTAAGTTCACTCGGAACATTTCTTCAGTTAGGTAAAATCCGATATTAATACATATTTTTTTTCCTAAAAAATGCTGTTAACACAATCCAATTAAAATGTAAACATGCTTTTTTTTAGTGGTCCTTCGATATTTATTATTTTGTGTGGTTGACGACTTGAATTATGGTCTGATTAATGTACTTTATAAGACAATTCGTTTAAAACCATAGAATATTTAACTATAATCTTCAGTTCCAATCTCGACAAAGCTTCGAATTTCAATCCCGGTTTTAATCGCCGAGACCGGAACTAGCATTGGCCTCGCACATCTCTATTTGAAACACATTCTTCATCATTTTTTCTATCCTCGAGAAATGCTATAAGGAAGTAGTTCATATATTATAACGAGACGTTATTGATACACGATCCAAACTTTTACTCCTATACTCGAACACTCTTTTTAGATCGTATTTCATAAAACACTTGTTCCTTATTTTTTGACTACTGATAAAGGAACCACTCTATCTGATACTCGCCATTTGAACTCATATTGTGAACATAAGAGAATCTTGCTAAGACTCGAAAAAGTCTAAAAAAGGATTCGTCTGCATCGTTTTTTGTAGACGAGTTATGATCGTTTCACTACATTTTCAACTCATTTTTAGATATACACTGAAAGACTCATAGGAATAATTGCGTTTAGACTTTTGCTAGTCTCATTGAAACGCTCAATCAGTTAGAGTGAATCCCTCATACATATCTAAAAAAATTATTCTTGCAATTCAATGTTACAAATAAAGATTCAATAAAAATTATCTTTATCTTGAGATATAATAAATTAGATCTAATTCTAGTTTAAAATTATTTGAATAACTTACGATCATCATCTCGCGTTTTAGTATTTGTTTTATCTTGAATATCTATAAATTCAAAAAAAAAATTTATATAATGTTTTTTTTTTTTTTTACTTTCTAAATATCTTACCTTCTCTTGTTGTTTGATTAAATAAATTTAAATAATTTGGTTGTAAAAAATTTGGTATTGAATATTCACGATTTGATAAACTAAGTTGTGATGGTAAATGTGAATATTTAGCAGCTGTTTGATCATAAAGAAATCTTCCAAATAAATCTTCTTTTCGACATATTGGTTGAAGTAATTGTGGTCGACATGCTAATGGTAGGGAATCATCAATTGTTATTTGAAATGGATCAGGTCCTAATGAACTAAGACATAATGTTGATGATGAACGATGAAAAAATGAATCCTTTGATGTTATTCTATTTGTATCATTAATATCTTCAGTTTTTAAATTTTCATTATTTTCATTATTAATTTCTTTTCGATATGTTATTGATGATCGATTTAATTCATTTAAACCATTTTCACGAAAATAATATATAAATGCATCAAGTAAATAAGCAAGATGTTTATATGATAAAACATCAATTAATGGTTCTTGATCACCATGTTCATGTATTGAACGCATTAATGATAATGAATAATTAAGAAAATCTAGACGATTATTTATTGGTTTATCTTAACAAAAGAAAAAAACAAAAAAAAACAATATCAAATTTTTATTTCTATTATAATATTGAAAAATATCTACTGATGCATGTAACAGAGATGTTCATGGCGATGCTGTCGGCAGCAACAGTCTTTTTTTTTTAGAGAGATTATAAAATTGCATAACTTTGCATCCAATTTAAGTGTCTACAAGTTCAATAGTTAGAATTGTCGTGAATTTTATGGATTCAATCAATCTGTGCTAACTTAACATAATACCGGAAGAGGTCTTTCAAAGAATCTCTTGAAAACTATTGCGACAGTGGAAGATTTCCACGTACGATAGACATCTTTGGCATACAGCATCAAGTTTTACACATGTCAATAGACAACACTGCCTCCTATTGACAGGTCCATAGTACGCAATAGACCTGAATAGGGATATAGTATTACATAAACGAACTCTTTTTCTGTAAGCCTATATATGGGCAAAATCATTTGTTAGCGACGTGACTTCGCAAAATTGAAATGCATATAGCTCTGGACAATGAGCTTTTCTAGAGCTGATTTTTTATATCCTGCACGTATGTTAAGTTGTTCTAGATACCTTGAAAGAAACAGTCCTAGGGATTCTTGTTCGTCAGAGTTATGATTAAAAAACTAGCGTTAGCGACGTAACTCAAAAAAAGGACATCAACTTCCACTACAAGCATTTCAGTTTGAAAAATCTGCGAATCGAAATAGTATTTTCGAAAACTAAATAGTAAATGTTGCAGGCACCTCTTGAAGCTACAAAGNATAAGAACAAAACATGGTGTTATTCGGGCCATATGAAAGAGCATCATTGATAACCACCGATTGGCCTGAACAACACTATGTTTTGTCCTTACAATATTAAAATTCAAGCCTTCAGTTAAGAGTCTTATGCTGATTTTTCAGAAGGTATGGAACCTCGTTGTTCCTGAAAAGTTCACCATGGGCAGAAATCCTTTATACGCGGGTACTGTACTCATTGAGCTGTATAAAATAACAAATACCCAATTCGAAACGGAGACTCACACTTGGGGACCTTCCCTCGTCAGTGTTAGACGACTTATAGGTTAGAACAGGCTCGAAACATTTCATGTTGACATTAAGATTTGATCGAAATATTGATTTTGTAATGAATTTTCACGGTATGGAGAAGTCTTCGATAGAATATCTCTAAGATATACAACTTTCAAACTATGCACAATTTACACGCTATCCAATGAAAAAACCGTTAGAAGTCTGAAAAAAGCATATCTCAAATGATATTCAATCGAAAACTTTTTCATACAGGAAAAATCCACTAAAAAGTTAATAACTCATTCAAATCTTAATGTCAACACGAATCCTTTGAAGAGTATTTTAATCTATCTATCTATCCCTCGTTAGCTTAATCGAACTCGAACAATTCAAGTTATATATATATAAATGTTACAAAGTTTCTAATTCTAAAATTGCTCCTATTTAAATACAAACCAGTAATTGCTGTTCTACTTGTTAATCGTGGTACACTCAAATGACTACTTGTAGAATTAATTGTTGGTGTATTTAATCCTGTTGAATTATTATTTGTCGATGATACTGAACCTAATCGATCATTTGTTGTAGTTGTTCCATTATTAGTTGTTGTTGTTGTTGTTGTTGTAACAGGTAAAGTATCTCTAGCATCATCAAATATCATTGTTTCATGTTGACTTGTTTCATCACCTTCACCTAAAACACTATCACTTCTAACACTATCAGCATCATCAGATTCTGAATTATCATCATCAGAAAATAATGTCATATGTTCACTTCCAGCTGTTGCTGATGTTCTATGTGTATTTGTATTTAATGCACTATGATTACTTTCATTATCTGTATCAGATTCAGCAAGTAATTCTAATTCCATTTCACTTTCATTATCACTTAAACTATTTGTAAGATTTTCACGTAATGTTGTTGTTGTATTTGAATTATTTATTGGATTAATTATTTCATGTTGAGATTGACTATCAGAATTATTATCATCATCATCTATTGTTAAATCAATATTTGTATTATCATTATTAATTTCATTTAAATCATCATTTATATTATTTGGATAACGTTGATATGCACGATAATATTCTGAATCAATATTAAATACTTCATCAAGACTTTGTAATATATCTGTATGTGTTGATAAAAGATTAAACATAGCTATTGGTTTAGCAATACCATGACGAACAGGTGAAAGTAATAAATCAGCCATTTGTATAAGTGAATGAACAGATATAATTGTTAATGTTTGAAAAATACGTTTACATTGTAAAATAATTGATTGTGATATTGTATATGTTGATGATGAAGATAAATTTGTATTTGTTATATTACGTTTTATTGTTGAATTTATTGTAGAAGTTTTATCAGATAAAATTTGAAGATTTAATATTATAAATAAACGAATAATACTACGTACAAAACGTGCTGATACATAATAAGCTATATCATGATTAATTGGATTTGATATTTCACGTAATAATGTATTTAATAATATATCAATAAGATCATTTGTTGTTGTTGTTGTTGTTGTTGTTGAAGTTTTTGATGCTGAATTTGTTTGTTTAATTGTATTACATTTAACAAGAAGAAAATAAGTAAAACGATCTAATTGACTTGTTTGTTGTTGTTCATCTAAGGAAAATATATTTTCATTATTATATGTTGATATTATAGGTGAACATGTTGATGTCAAAGAAGATGTTTGTTTAGTTTTTATTATAATTGAATCAATATCATCAGGACAACCACATAATAACATTGATTTAACACTTGGCCAATCAGTTAGCATTAATTCAAGAGCACGACGACCTTTAACAAAACAAAAATAAATATACTTAATGATTTCAATCAAAAAACATTTTTAATATATTAGAACGTTTATTTTTATTTTTTTACTTTTAGATTATATATACGTTGGATTATTCTGAGATTTAATCTAAATCCATCGCATGTACATTTCTTGGAAAATTCCTTTAGTTTCAAGTGATGTTTTAGTTATAAGAGTGGTTTAAGTATTTTATTATGATGATAATTTGCTTCAATGAAGGATACATGGGCGGGCCGGCATAGGGGCGAGAGGGGGCAAGTGCCCCCCCCCCCCCCTAAAAAAATTTGTTGGCTGGGACTTAAGAAGAACGCCATGAAAACAGGTGTTTTTAAGCGAAAAAGAGCTTATTGCTCCCCCTGAAAATTATGGTCCGGCCCGCCAATGGAAGGATATAATGGGAGTGACCAGTCAGTATGGTACCCCATTTTGATGCACTCCTATTGTAAGGATAAAACATACTATTGTTCGGGTCATATAAGAGAGGATCCTAGATAACCCTGAATTGGCCCGAACAACATCATGCTTTATCCGTACAATAGTTGAGAACAGCTACTAGCTTATCGTGTGAGTTGGCAGCTTTTCTCTACTATTGTACAGATGAAACATGATGTTGTTCGGGCCAATGCAGGGTTATCTAGGATTCTCTCTTATATGGCCCGAACAATAGTATGTTTTATCCTTACAATAGGAGTGCATCAAAATGGGGTACCATACTGACTGGTCACTCCCATATATCTTCTTCTTTTTTTTTTTTATTTTGCTAGCTGAGTAACACCGATGCCAAGACGAAGGCCTGTCGGTATCTATAGATTACAACATAAGAAAAGAGTGTCAGACTTTATAAAGAAGATAGTAGAAATGTTAGAGAAGGAGCTTGAGAGGCGTAGAAAAAATAGAAAAATGAGAACAGAATAGCGCCGTACACAATCAGACAAGAAAAATTAGAAAGAATTAAATACATGATGATGTTAAATATAGTATACTTGCGAGACGAGAAGAAACAAACAGACAGAATCGTGTATTAACAGTGATAAATACACCGAAACACCACAGCTTGAAATACTTCAAAACGTTTCGGGAAATTCCTTCAATAACTCGATATCATCCCGTGAGAACTGAACAATTGTGTCTGTGAGGGGGTTTTCATCATGCCAGGACAAACATTTTTCCAGAACCGTTTTATGATCTGTGAATCGTTTTGTTCTACGAAGATCCTTGACTCTTAGCTTACCTCTTAACCATTCGTTTCTATGTATGTTAAGAATTAGCTGCTCTGCAAGCAACTCACCATCTTTCGATTCAGCCAGTGCTTTGAAATATTTATTCCAATAGCGCGTGCATCTATTAACTAGTGGGACTTCATTGAATACAAACTCGAAGAACTCATCCGGCCAGCTCTGGCAATGGATATATATATCTTTCAATACAATTGCGTAACATTACAAATGAGTTACTTCTTTTGTGTATTTGCTAACTGTTTTACTGATTTGAATAATTTAACTTTCTTCGTTAGAAAATATCAAAAAAAAAAAATGACAGATCACATTAAATGATGTATATACTCTTGATTGAAGAAGATCATAATCAATCGTGTACTATACTAAAATGCAGTATTTAAGTCATTCTCGTCATAAGCATTTATTTGAAATCAATAGAAGTCATCAGGTTAAAACTCTACGACGAGTTTTTATTTAGATGCTTCATATTTAATTATGAGTAATGAAGGATTTGTATATATTCACAATAAAAATTGTCGTTTTTATATTTTACTAAGTTTATATTTTGAACTTAATTGAACTGAAATAGTTTAAAGATAGATACTACATGATTATACAGAGAAATGTTTTAGATATTTAATAAACTGTAGAATTTTCTGTATGAACTGTTGAAATATGATTATTTAGATTTCACATTCCTCGTCGTAGATATACATCACTATTATTAATTCATTTCCATGGCAATCAACAATTATCTATAAAAATTTATATAAAGAATTTATCTGTGTTCTCAAAAACAATAAGAATAGTAACATTTGAAAACGAGAGAAATCATCAAAAATTCCAAGATACTTCATGATGATGTGAAATCATGATTTTTAGATCTCTGTTTACTAGTATATTCTATTTCATAATTACTTGCTTAAACTTAACAATCAAATTCATTCTAGAATGACAGACGACTGACATAGTCTAGAAAATTATTCTTACTTTTTTCTTTGCAAGCTACGAATACGAGCAACTGACTAATCGCTTTTGAATCTGAACTCTATACATTACGTAGATCATAATAAGATACTGCATGTTTATTGTATTTCTCGAGTCACTACCATGATCGACCTCAGAGACCATTCAATTACGACATTGACTATTAAAATAGCGTAAAAATGCTTTATATCAGCATCAATAAGCTAACGATTCAGACTCATTGCATGATGCTCATACTTTATTAGAATCTCCAGACATGCATAAGTTATTAGTCAGTTGGGAGACTTCTCTCGTAAGCAGTGAGATAGAATGTAATATGTACAATAACCCAAACAAGAGAAATATGGACTCAGAACTAGAAGATTTGAATCAATATATTCTCATGTCGCATATTTGTTCGTACTACCACCGATATATTACATTACTCATAAGAAACAGCAGTATATCAACAGTAGTATTACCAGTCAGAAATTAACTATCAATGCATCCCTAATCGCTATAGAGCGCAAATTATATCTATCAACGGATTTTATCCAATTTGAATCATATAAGTACATAAATCTATTTTCTTTTTTTAAATAATAGAATTTGAAAAAAAAAAATTCTTACAAAATTGTGGTGGTTCTAAATGATGATCCGGAATATTATTTGATTGAATATTTGATTCTGAATCTATAGAACTCGACGTATTATTATTCGTATTTGTTGTTCCTGATGATGATATTTGATTTTGTAATTTTTTTGCTAATGGATTTAATCCTGTTATAATTGATGTATTATTTAATAATTGTTCACGTGTTTTTCTTGCTTGTTGTTGTAATAAAGCAGCTGTTGATGTTCGAACAAATTGTTGTTGTTCAATAATTTGTCTTCCAACTGTTTGTACTAAATATAATAATAAATGTTCATAACGTGAATTTTTAATATCAACAAGATTTGTTTCATTTAATAATAATTTAAATAAATCAAAACGTTTTTGTTGATCACCAGCTATTAATGATTTACATTTACATAATTCCCAACAATCACAATATGCTGTTGGTGATGTACGTTTTAAACGACAATCATGTCCTTTATGACATGTTTGTGCACATTCACTACAACAACATAATGTACCGGATAAACCACATGTTTTACATTCAAATATAGCTTGACTTATATGTTCTTCACCTGTCCATGTAAATGAACATGTATCATTTGTACATATTGTATATAATGGTGAATAATCAGAATTTATTGATGTTAATGGATAAATCATTCGAAGTAAAAAATTTTGATATGATATTTTTGTATTTTCAAATGTAGATGATTCAAGAAAAAATTGTACAGATGATGATGATGATTGTTCATAAGATGTTTCATGTTTAGCTATTTTAATAGCATAGTCAAATAAAATTAATGCACTATGATAAGCACGTGAATTAATAGCATACATAAATGGTGTTTGTCCTTCAAAATTACGAAAACTAAGTAATGATAAAAGATGTTCTTGAAATAATGAACAATCAAGAAGAAGACGAAGAATTTTTATTGCACGTAAACGTTTTTCACGTTCATCATATTTACATGATGACCATACAGTAAAATCATTTGAATTTGAACGTATTGAACGTGTTGTTGATGTTGAATTAATCATAGATCCACTTGGATAATTTTGTAATGAATTAAAATTATTTATTTGTTGTTGTTGTTGTTGAATTACTTGATTTTGAAGATATTGAATTTTTGATGATAATGCTGTTGATGTATATGATGGAGATACTGAACCAGCATTTGTTGTTGTACCAGTTGATAAACTCTTAAATTAAGAAAAATTCAATAACAAAAAAAAAAACAATTTGTTTCATTGACAAAAATTTTGCTTGCAAATTGTTTCTGTCTCAAGATATGACTATGGTAAAAGCGTTCAGAATAGAAAGATTTGAAACTTTCACAAAAAATCTATTCTTATGTCAAGACCTATGTCTGTGTAAAGTTTTAAATCAAAACTCAAAAATAAGTTTTCTTGTTTTTCTGACGAGAACTATGGCAAAGCTGTAAAAATAAAACAATATCTCGGTACCAATAAACTTTTCACGATATTCATAGCTCATTAGGAACCAGAGCTGCCAACAGGCCAGTACGAATGACAGGTCAGGCTAAGAATAAGGTGTTTGGCCTGTGGCCTGGCCTGCTGGCTTTTGAGAGACCAGAACAAGTTTATCAAATACTTTGCTACTTTCATGGATAAAATTGTACAATATGCATCAGACTTTTTTTTATTATCGCACCCTC